ATTCCAAAAACAGAGAAGGACTCAACCAAGAAGGAGAACTACAGGCCAATCTCCTTAATGAACATAGATGCAAAAATCCTCAACAAGATACTGGCAAAGAGAAAACAGAGGCTCATGAAGAAGATCATACACCCTAACCAGGTGAGATTCATCCCAGGGATGTAAAGTTGGTTCAACATATGTAAATCAATAAATGTATATACAACATTAACAGAGCCAAGGACAAAAACCATATGATCATCTCAGTAGATGCAGAAAAATAATTCAACAAAATCCAACACCAATTCATTATAAAAATCCTACAGAAAAACTGGAATAGATGGTCTTTATCTCAACCTGATAAAGGCTATCTATGAAAAACCAACAGCCAACATCATACTAAATGGTAAACCTTCACACTAAAATCAGGAAAAAGGCAAGGATGACCACTATCACCACTGCTCTTCAATATAGTACTAGAAGCATTAGCCATAGCAATTAGAAAAGAGAAATAAATAAAAGGAATTAGGATAGGAAAGGAAGAAGTTAAGCTGTCATTATTTGCCGATGATATGATATTTACATGAGCCAAAATTCTCCACCAAAAGTCTTCTACATTTAATTGGCAGATACAGTAGAGTAGCACAAGGTCAACACTCAAAAATCAATAGCCTTCTTGTACACAAATAACAGACTCACTTAGAGAAATTAGGGGAACAGTCCCTTTCACAACAGCATCCACAAAAATGAAATGTCTAGGAATCAATCTAACAAAGGAAACAAAATACCTCTACAATGAGAATTACAACACTATGAAAAAAGAGATTGGGCCAGGGATTAAGCTCAGTGGTTCCACCACCTGCCTCACAAGTGCAAGGACCCAAGTTCGATCCCCGGTACCAAAAAAAAAAAAAAAAAAAAAAAGGAAAAAAGAGATTGAAGAGGATATAAGAAAATGGAAAGACATCCCTTGTTCCTGAGTAGGAAGAGCCAATACAGTGAAATTGGCCATACTTCCAAAATAGCTATACAGATTCAATGCAATCCTGACTGAAATCTCAACAGTATATTTCACTGAACTAGAGAAAACAATCCAAAAATTCATTTGGAATTAGAAAAGCCATTCTAGGCAACAGAGACATAGCAGGAGGTATCATATTCCCCAACTTGAAACTACACTACAAAGCCACTGTGATAAAAACAGTATGGCACTGGCAAAGAAAGAGACCCAAGGATCAGTGGAATAGATTAGAAGATGCAGAAACAATTCCAGACCTGCTCAGCTACCTTACCTTTGACAAAGGAGCCACCTATACTCAGTGGAGGACAAGTAGTCTCTTTAATAAATGGTGTTGGAAAAACTGGATTACAACTTGCCAAAGATTAAAACTAGATCCCTATCTTTCACCATGCATTAAATCAAAATTCAAGTGGACTAAAGATATTAAAACAGCCATGGGTGGTGGTGTATGCCTGTAATCCCAGCAAATGGGAGGCTGAGGCAGGAGGATCACTGTGACTTCGAGACCAGCCTGGGCTACATAGCGAGTTCCAGGTCAGTCGCAACTACATTGTGAGACCCTGTCACAACCACCCCCCCAAAAATGATAGCAAAACAGAAACACTAAACTTGTTGGAAGATAAGTTAGGCAGAACTGTTGAAGACATTGGCATAGGAAAAGACTTTATGAACAAATCCTCAGTTGCATGGGAACTAGCACAAAGAATCAACAACTAGGATTTCATCTTATTAAAAAGATTTTGCACTGCAAGAGATTCCATCAACAGAACTAAGAGACAACCTACAATGTGAGAAAAAACATTTTTACCAGCTAAACCTCAGAGAAAGTATTACTAACAAGGTTATGCAAAGAACCTAAAAAAATCAGACCCCCTCACATTTAAAGACCCAATTTGAAAATGGGCATCTGAAATGAACAGACATTTCTCAGGCAAAGAAGTAAAAGCAGCAAATAAACATATGAAAAAATGTCCAACATCACTGGTCATTCAAGAGATGCATATGAAAACAACCCTGAGATTCCACCTCACCCCACAAAGAATGGCTGTTATCAGGAAATCAACCAATAACAAATGCTGGTGAGCTTGTAGGGAGAAATCACCCCTTCTCCATTGTTGGTGGGAGTGTAGACTGGTGCAACCACTGTGGAAATCAATACAGAGACATCTCAAGAAACTAGGATTAGAGGTCCCAGCTATTCCTCTGCTGGGCATCTTCCCAAAAGAATTTTTAAAAATCATGCCACAGTCATATATGTGTACCCATGTTTATAGCAGCACAGTTTGTAATAGCTAATACTTGGAAACAGCCTAATTGCCCATCAATTGGAGACTGGATAAAGAAGATGTGGGCTCTTCTTTTCATAAAATGGAGTACTACTCAGCCATAAAGAATGAGAAACTAGAGACATTTATAGCTAAATGGATGGACATTGAGGCAATATTCTTAAGTGAAATAAATAGGACATATATGTGTAATTACCAAATAGTTCCTCTGGTGTGAGAAACAAAGTATAAATAAGGATCATAATGTATAATGGATAATGTGAAATAGGAAGAAAAGGTCCAAAGGGGTAGAGGAAGTGGAAGGGGTAAGGGAAAGGAAAACTATGAGAAAAGGAAAAAATGGAAACAAAGTCTTTGTAAATAGGGAGGAGTCGAGGTGTTGAAGGGAGGGCAGGGGAATTGAGAAAAAATAAGAACCAAGATACATCACGTAAAGGTACAAGATCCCAATGATGAATGTAACTGTATCATATACTTAATGTATACCAATAAACTTACTGCAGATTTGGGGGGAAAGTAAAGTAACACAAATGTATTCAGTGAAATGCATCTCAGCCCCACCGGTGTGGCCCTATCTCCACTCCCCCCCACTCCTCCTGTAGGCTGCCTCCTGTCCGCCTCCCTCTTGCTGTGTCCCCTCAGCGGGCCTGCGGGCCTTCACTGATGCCATAAGGAATCTTCACCAATTCAGAAGTGTAAAACAGCACAAACTATTCTCTTACAGTTCCAGCAATCAGAAATCTGAACGTTTCACTGACCAAGGTCAAGGTGCCAACAGGGCTGGTTCCTCACACTGTTAGAACAGATTCGGTTTCCTTGCTTTTTCCAGCAGCCAGAATTCACCTGCCCTCCTTGACTTTGGCTTCTTCCTTTACTGTAAAGCAGATGGCTCCATCAGTAGCATCCTGTCTGACCTTCCTGCCACCCTCTTATAAAGAACCCGAGACTGCATCGTTTGTCTAGATAACCCACGATAACCTCCCCACCTCAAGATCCCTAACACAACAGCACTGCAAAGTCGCTTCTGTGTAACATGACACATTCACAGGTCCCGGGATCAGCTGTGGACATCTTTGGGAGCTATCTTTGGGCTGTTGTCTTCCATAACCACCCAATTTCTAGAGATTCCTCCATTTTTTCCCAGTCTCCCTTTTGTTTTTTGGTTTTTGCTTTTTACTTGTTTTTAGACAGGGTCTCACAGTTAGTCCAGGCTGGCCTTGAACTCACTATGTAGCCCAGGAGGGACAAACTCACAGAGATCCTCCAGCCTTAGCCTTCCAAGTGCTGGGATAACTGGGGTGCAACACCACACCCGGCTCCGGCTTCCTTTTAACCTCAACTCCCTTCCTTATTCACCCTACAAAAGGAGTTGACAGAAGTCATTCTCTAACACCTGAAGTTTTCTCACAGCCTGTTCTTCACATCAAACCACCTAGCAATGCCCTCTTGGAACAATTCTATAATCCACCTTCACTGTGCCTAAAGTTAGGAGTTTGGCCTTTCTGGACATCATCTCCCTTTTCTGGTTCAAGGTCAGCCACTCCACCCCCGTTCCTTTTAAATGTTTACTGATAGTCATTATACATAGGAAGTATGATTTAAAAAATTGGTGAGTGCTTACACTTTAAAATGACAGTAAAAGACGCTCTACCATTAATCCCCTTAAAATACCACCTGCCCCCAGGCTTCAAACATACTTAACCCATCTTTCTCGCCACCCTGCAGCAGCTCTAGGAGCCATCTTTCATGGCTTTAGTTGAGCCAGCAACGTTGCCTCGATGTCCTGAACCAATTTAAAACATCTACCTTCACAGCCACTTTGACTGTGAGGCACAGGCACAGTGCCCAGTCTGGTGAGTAAGGTGGATAAGGACGCATTGTAATGCTTTTACAAACTTGCCTTTTGCTCAGCTGGCCCTCGGGAGTGGCAGTCACTGGGTACTTTGGCCACCCCTTCTATTTATGTTGAATGTTGCTCTAATACACGTGTACAGACCACACCTGTAATTTCAGCACTCTAGGAGGCTGAGGTAGGAAGACGTTAAGTTCGAACCCAGCAGTGTCAACTTAAAGAGAACCTATCCTAAAATAAAAAATAAAAAATGTAGAGGATGTAGCTCACTGTGAAGGGCCTGGGTTTAATCCCTAGTAGAGCAAAAACATTTTTAAAAGTATAATATCGGGGTAATCCATCACCTCAAATAGTCTCACCTTTAATCCCATGCCCTTTCCTCCCTCAGGGTCCATCAATTATTCACTTTAGATCTTTTATCTTTGACTTCCAACTAAACCTTTGCCCTCAGAAATAAGTTATGTTCTCCCATCATAAAGAAAAAGTGAGAACTTCTTGTTCTGGTTGAGACAGAGTATACTTTAAGAATAATTAAAAATCCCAGTGGCAGCAGGGAACTGGCCCAGGTGCTGCTTCCCTGGGCATCCCCAGCAATGTTTGAGTGGAGACCACGTGGGAATCGAGGCTTTCCCTCTCCTGCCTGCTGGAGGGGCAGCTGGAGGTTCCAGGTGCCAGTCCCCTCTGGCCAGAATGATTTAAGCCTAAGTAGGATCTCCCAGAACAGGCAGGCACTACTCAGTCTGACAACTAGAGAACAGGAAAGAGGACCCTGGAGAGCAGAGAGCTAAAGAAAGGCAGTCTTTAAACAGGCACAGGCACTGAGCGACCTCCTCACAGACGAGGCTCACCTACATTAACTCACCAAAGGCCGGAGCTGTGAACTCATGAGGGGCATCGCGTGCCAGTCTTCAGGGCAGCCTCTGGGAAGCACACAAATGAAAAAGATCAGAGCACCGTCAGGTCCTGGAAACGAAACTGTCCACCAAGAAAGATGATGCCTCCCACATTTATATTTCTAGTGCTAACCTTTCTCTGGAGTTTAAGACTCACCTATCCAACATCTTTTGTTTGGGTCAGATTGAGAATCCTTTTTTTTTCCTCGTGCATTTAGAAGGTTAATTCAAATTACTTAACCTCTTAGAGTCTTAGTCTCACTCCATAAAAGAGGGTAATGATACTTACTTTGCTGATTTATTGGAGAGGTTAAACAAGATAAATACCACTAGGGCTGAATGTAAACAATAGATGCTCAATACATCATTAACATCAGCACTTTTGGCAAAGCGCCATTTCCTCAGGGCTACCTGTAGCTTCTCAAGACTGAATGTGGAGTTTCTGAGCCATTCAACATCTTGCTGGACCATCTAGCCCTCCTCAGAGAGCAGAAGGCATTTTCTCCACTGGTCAGGGCTGTTTCCCTGCACTCGCTGGCCGGCAGGACATATAACATCTTGGATGACTGCACAACTGAGTTCTCAGAAAGACTTTGTAGTCAATTGAGTCTTGCAACTAACCAATTACTTCATGTAATAAGCATGCCTCAGGATCTCTGGTTAGCTTCAAGTTTATGGGGCTGATTTATATCTAAAATGAAGATCGTTTCATTTCAGATCTCTTTTACTTAAAGGCAAAAACAAAGCACAAAGTTATCTTGCAGCAGAGACTACTCCAATGATTATTCAGAGGACCCCCAGGCCATGTACAACAACAAAGGCAGGAAGGGCCTCGTTTCCTATTGGATGAGTGGTGGAGAAGCTGCAGTCTCATGCACTCTACCCAACAGAAATCTGTAATGTATTACGCTGAGAAGCCGTGTGACTCTTCAATGGCTGTTTCTTCTCAATTTCTCTCCAGTTGAGCTAAAAAAGAAGCTACTTAATGATAAGTAAACTGACAAGGATCATATTGTCATTTCCAACACACATGAAGGAATTAAAATGTTGTGAAATATGCCAACCAGCTTTTACTGATCCTTTAACTTCCAGAGGAAAGGTTTGCAATTAGTAGTGCATTAGAATTGTCACAGTTAAGCAATTTTTTTTATTACTCAGAGGACTTTTAATAGATTTCATGTTACACATACACACTATAAATGCAGTTAGGGTAACACAAGAAATTAAAATTACAATTGAGGTGTCATTCAGTGAGTAAAAATGCTTTAAGGCCTGTCTGGTCATAGAGCTAATAGCCACTTTAAGCAAAATGCAGTAAAACAAAGGTGCCCTTCTCAATAGCCAGCATACATTTGGGTTAGGACCATTTTCTAAGGCCACATGCATACAGCTGTGCTTGGTTACAGGAACTTTAGCTGAGTGAGACCACAAAGAACAGCTATATTTGAGATTACACAGGGCTCTGCACATTTTCCTCCTGTGGCAGCCAATCAGAAATCTTGCTGCCAGGCAAACCTGTACAGAACAAATGATCTTTTTTTTCTTCAAGATAAATTCCAAAGGTTTATTGCACCAAATGCCAGTTGACTAGATACCAATGTCAATGTATGGGGAACTTTTCTTAGTACTTGTTCATTTATTATTTTGATCCATTTTCTGTGGCATTTGGTGCAAACGATCTTATTTAGATTAATTCCTCTTAATGCCTTATGCATGCTTACTTTCCTGGCCTGTCATGGAAAGAGCAGGTCAGCTCCATTTAAAACTTAAAGATAGAAAATTCAAACTCGATGACTTGATAAAGTACAAGCCAACACGAGCAGAGAAGCAGAGCGCCCAGGCTGTGGCAGTAAGGCTGGCAGCGCTGCCTCAGCTCCGAGGTCTGCCACAAGGCACTGGAAGACAAGCACTCGCCAGCATGCGCCCCAGAGGACCGAGTTTCAGCTGTGCCATGGCTGGCACTTCGCTCTCCATCTGACCTTGGGACACCGGCTCCCTTGGCTGGGAAACTCTGAAATGACCTGCCAAGCCCTGGATCCGGCCTTCCACCCATGGGAGGCCCGCGACGTACTCCGCTGGCTTGCACTCCTGCCTCCACCACTGCCGCCACACGGGGAGCACCCTGGAGCCAGCCCATCAGTGTGGGAGGCCGCAGGGGGCACAGGAACCCCTGTGTGAGCTAGGAGCGGGTCGCACAGCTGCCCAGCAGAGTCCCAGCCCAGCTCAGCCAATGAAGACCAGTGAGCACTCGCTAATGCTGCTTGCCACAGGCCCCACTGGACTGGGGCAGCGGGAAGCAGGGCGTAAGGCCTGTGCGCCCTGGGGCTTTCCCAACTCCACTGCTCACCTGGAAAATGAGAGGAAGGACGCCAGCACCTCCCGTCCCCTCTGAAGAAAACTGCGATCAGGAAAATGAGGTGGGAAGGGTCTCCGATTATTCCTGGGTCTCACATTACTCAGCACCTTTGAGGACTGAGGAAAATCTTCAGCTGGTACCGCTGGCAGGCAGTGAGCCTTTCTCACCACACACAGGGAGGGCCACCCGTGCTCTTGAGGCTACACACATAGTCGGTGTCAGCAAAGGGCCTGAAAGGCCTGGCTGCCGTGCATTTCCATAGCCGGTTCCTCAGGAAAACGTGTTTTAAACCCAGATAAATAAGCAAGTCAGAAGACAGGATAGGAGAAAATGGAAATCTTTATTTTTAAACACTAGTACATTTTCAGGGTGTTTTAAAAAGGAAAAATCATGTTATATTAGTTCAAAACTATGCATCAAAGCATATTTATTTAAACTCTAATTTTACAAACACATAATGAAAGAAACATTTTATAAATATCTACTTAGAATAGGTATTATGAAAAAAAGTGTTTAAAAATAACAGCCCAAATCTCCTTCTTTAAATATATAAAATTCCCATAGAATTCATAAGAATTCTTCCTCAAGAGCCAAAAATTTCATTTCACAAAGGCCAGCTCAGTTCTTATCTGATGCAATCAAAAGTAATAGGAATATAAAAAAATGTAAAAGTACTGTACAAGGGAATACAGATAGCACACGGGTAAATCTCATTACCATACATGCCATTTGGGTTTTAAAAATGTTTTATAAAAACTGCCATTTGAAACAAATAAGCGAGAGTCCTTCCCTGACTGTGAGAAATATATAAGTGACTGCCCTCCCACTGCGGGAGGAGGCTGCCCTGCCACCGGCCGGAGGGAGGCACCCTGTGTTTCCTGATGGGGCCTGAGCGTCACATGGGACCTGCCTTCCTGTGGCAGTGGCTCTTGCCAGTGGGTCATTCACTACTACATCCTTTCACTTAGAAAAGTTCTTTGGGATCATAGAAGATAATTGCTCACAAATAAAACCAAGACTAGGGGATGACTTGAGGCTGCAGAATCCAACTAAGAGTACAAGTACTTGGTCTGGTGACCAAATGCTGGCAGCCTGGTTTGCCACTGCCAGAGACTCACCCAGCCACCTACCCCGCACAGCACATGGACAGTCCAAGGCTGGGCTGCATCTCCTCTCTTCTGACCCGGCTGCGCGCTGGTGCCTGCAGCAGTGCATGTACACCTACTGTCTCTTCTGACACTTCTTCTGGAAAGAGCTCTTCAAAAAAGTGCGATACACAGGGTCATCCACATACTCGTTCTTAAACCTGGAGCTGAGCACTCTTTGTCTCTTCCTCTCCCCTTGGATTATGTCTGCTCCATAAAACGTGTCTTCAAATCTCATGTCAGAGGCTGTGGACTAAAAGCAGCCAGTGTTACTCTGTGGCATCCGATAATCACGGGACTGAACTAAGATCTGATTCCATGAGGACAGAGGGGAAAGGGATAGAGTCTGGGACCTGGTTTAGAGTAAAAGGGCCCCATGGTGGCTTTAGGTTCTTCCTCACCCCCCACGCCCAAGAGGCTCCATTTGGCCCCATTTCCTCCAAGATCTCCAAGCTAGGACACTGCCTACTCCTGGGCACCTTCCTCACTCTTCATTTCTTCTCAGCTCTTGCTTAACCAGAACTTCGGCAAATTCGTCAGTAGTCATTCCTAACTCACCCTTATTCCTTCTTATGTTTGGTGTTTGCCCCATTACTTCCTTGAAACTGTTCTTGTTAAAATCCTACGTGTGAGGTCCTATGACTCTTTTCTTTCTTTTTTTTTTCAGCTTTAATTGAGTTTATTGGTACATTTTAGGGATTCAGTACAGTTATATTTATTGTTGGGATCTTGTACCTCTACATGACTAGTCTTGATTCTCATTTTTTCCTCTTACCTCTGCCCTCCCTTCACTCCCTCCTCCCCTCCCCATCTACAAACACTTTATTTTCATCTTTTCATTCTTATGACTCTTTTCTATCCTAAACTTATTTGATTTTTATGTCACCAACTACTGCTTGAAGCTCTCTTCTCTGCTGTTTTGCAAGCCCTTCCTCCTGCCCCTTCTCCCCCGATTGCTCGTTTTTGATAACACAGGGGTTCCTTTTCTGGACTATCTGCTCAACTCTGATGCTGCTGGGTTCTGTGTTCAGTCTTTTCCTTTCCAGGTGAGCTCCTTAAGCCTTGGTGCCCATGCTTGTGGCTTCAGTGGCTGCCTCTACTCCAAGGACACTCACATCTCTCCCTGCAGTTCCTACCTCCTGTGCTCAGGCCCTTCCTTCTCCATTGCCCTCATCTCTCCAGTTACACTGGCCAGAAACCTAAAAGCCAGCATGGACTCCCCTTGTCTTTGCATCCTGTTCAGGACCCCTCCTCCATATACTCTGTCGTGCAGGCTCTCACACCTCCTACCAAGCCCCCACAACAAAGCTTCAGACCCAGTCTCTCTCCCACAAAACCAGTGGTAGAAAGCTCTCTGGAAACTCTTCTGGCTACGTGTCCCACTTCTCATCCTTCAAGGTGACACACACAGTTCTGAGGGGCACCTACAGAACCTGGCATAACCCTACCCCACCTGGGTCAGAATGAATGGCTCCCATTCCTGGCCGTGCTTCTCTGGCTAAGGCCTCACGCTCCTCTGTCCTGGACACACCGCCTACTTTCCACGGAAGACACTCTCTCTCTGCCACAGCAGGCTTGAGGTTCTCTTAACCCTTCACATAAGTGCAACAGAATGAGGGTGGTGACAGAGAAAAGGGGCAGGCGAATTTCTTCCCACCAGGTGTTCCCTGGAAGTGAAGGAACTGTGTACCAAATATTCTGTGCTCCTCCCACCAAGCTACATATCCAGAACTCAGTGTCACTGTGCAGTAGGCACCAACAGGAATTGTAGAGGCTTTTCCTGTGATACTCAGGGAAAGCCCAAAGTGTACAGTAAAAGCACTATTTCTGCTTCCCAGTTCCCTATTTGTCACCTGAAATACATTCCCAGGGATTTTCACTAAGGTAGATGACTTTTAACAATAGTAATTCACAGCACACCTCACAAACACTATCTGCTCTGACTTGTAACAAAGCAGAGTCCAGTTTCAGACTTGCAAACACCTTGTAAAGAGAGAAAGACAAGGAAAGCCTGAAGGTCAAAGAAGCCTGAAAAGTAAAAATGGGCCCATGTGCAGCTGTGCCTGTTCCTGGCTAGGCCGTGAGAAGACCATGCAGGGAACATGCTACCTCCATGGATGGCTGCTGACACTACCTAGTTACACTCAGGGAGAAAACAAAGACCCTGGCTTTGTTGGGGGCCCACTGCCATCAGGGGAAAACATTATGTTGCATCCGCTCTTGGCAAAGTACTTCCTCTGAACAATCTTTCACGTCTGTTAAGTGCTGAAGCTATCAAAGGAGAAAATAAAACATCTATGCAAGTATTGCCACTGCAGGAACAGCAAAATTCAGCCTCTCCGACATAATAATAAAGCCAATTTACCAGGAGCTCTAGTTAATTATGCGCCGTTGCCATGGTTATTCTGTGAGACAATAAAAGGTAATGGGGCCGTTTCTGAAGTGAGAGGAAAAGAACCAAGCCCCATCACGAGGTGGACTGCTGACTCTCTTGAAAAATTTCTTCCCCCACCAGCATGAGCCGGGGTGAACATGGAGGCCTCCTGAAGAAGACTGCTATCCTACCTCCCCAGAAAAATGAAAGAGATTTCTCTAACCACGAAATAGCTTCCGTCAATGAGTTTTCCAATTAGATTTGTTTCACCAACTGGAAAAAAATGGCAGTCACAGCCGAAGACCCGAGGGCAAACAGTTATTCACTGGAGGAAAAGGCAGGTTGGTGAGAGGAGAGAGCATTAGAGCACATTAGTCTCTGGTCCAGAAACAGCGAGCGGCACACTGGGTGAAGTGATCCAGAGCCTCTGCTCCAGAAGGTTACTTCCTACTAGATTCAGTCATTTGACATAACAGCTGTGATTTATAGATTTTATCTATTTTGCATTGCTCTTTATAAAGTAAAAAATTTCTGTGAATTAAAAACAAACGTTGTACATTGGTATGTTTGCTCAGGAAAGAGAGGCCTTGGAAAACTCGTGAGTGGTGTTCAGATAAAACCACCTGAGAAGGCATCCTGGCACTGGAACCAAATCTACTGGTAAGAACAGGAAATTGTGATTAGTGCAGAAAGCAGAACTTTCTCCTCCTTTTTCCTCATTAAGAAACAGTGTGTGAAATCTACAAAACTAGGCTGCAGGGTGCTTAGCCGTACATGGACCAGAAAACCAAAGACCTTAGAGACTCGCAGAAGGCCACCTACTTACCTCTCTACCTCGAAATCGCTAGGCACTAAAGGAGGGGTGGGGTGGGGAGGTGGACGTGGGTCATGGAGATAGGAATGTAGAGGGGAGGCAGCAGTCTCTAGAACCCCAAAAGTTCTTCAAGGGTTTTCAAGGCCTTACAACACAGAGAAGTTATCCAGGTTTGTGGGACATGTACTTTTCTCTGTCCTTGCGGTTTTTATCTGATGTTAATCTGCCCACAAATGTGTGGGCCCCGTGTGCCATATTTCTCACTGGTGGACAGCAGTGTCATCACTTGTTTCTTGACTGTTTCCCTCTGCAGGATGCATCCGACAGGGAAGAGTGCATACACACACACACGCAGTCACCCTGTGTCTGGGTTCCATATGAGAGGGAAGGCAGCCGAATACGTGCCCCAGTGTTGCAGGAAACCCTTGGTTTTCCCAAAATAATCAAATAACCTCTAGTAATTAGCATCACAGAAAAGATCACAAGCATCACAAAAGTGTCATTATTCAGAGAAAAAATTTCGTTTTAGTTAGAAAAATCCCACTCATTCACATTTCCCTGTTTAAGAATTCTCCTTTTACAAATACAGTAGATGTAATAAATATAAATAAATATAATAAATCTATGCAAAACTGATTTCATTTTAGGGTCTACTATTTTTATGACACAAGATAAACCCAAAATGAGTATTATATTTTTTGATTAACTTCAGTTTAGATTATTTATCCGTGTTTATTTCTTAATGGTACATAGTAGGGTTGACACTAGTATTTTCTCTCTAAACAATTCCTTTAGTAATCCACAACTAAAATTCAGGCTTTGTTTATGTTGTTTACTATGACAGTGATAGCTTATTTAATCATGAATGGACACTACCACCAGTGATCTTCTGATACAGAATCCCACCCATACACGGAGGCCTGTTGGGACCACACAATCACTTATACCGACTCCCATTTAATCCACGTGAATACACTTCCTTCAGCATTGCTTCTACTGACAGAAAAGCAAAAGCCCTGATGATATCTGTGCATGCCTCTGCTGCTTGGCATATGACACATATTCTGTAACTATTTTCATGTATCAATGAATGTTAACCCATAGAACTGTCATTTGACTTCATTAGAAAAGTAAACATGTGCACTGGCTTACCTGTTTTTGACCAAATTTGAGGTTTGCATTCAGTAGGTTTAAGTAAGGGAAAAGTTGTACTGGCTTTCTTCAAAATTAACCTAACGGCCCCAGCATGTTTCCTACAAGGTTTAGGAAACAGAGAGAGGACAAGGACTTCACCACTGCGATCCCAAGTGGAACTCGCCCGCACTTACGAAACGAGCCTTTACTCTCTTTGGTAGCTCTTCATCTAAGGTGTAGATGTCTTCTCTCTTCATTGCTATCTGGGATCCATCTTCAAACTCAACCTAATGAAATATAAAGTGTCATGATTATATATATATTAAAACAAGCAGGGATTTAGCTCAGTGGCACCACACCTGCCTTGCCAGCACAAGTTTGATCCCCACGACCAAAAAATAAAAGAAAAAAAAATAAAAACAAGTGTTGACCACTTTTAAGGGTTTCCATTAACTATGTAAAAACAGGTAAAAAGGACTCAAGTAGAACAGACACCAAAGCAGCCAATGCTTAAGGAAGTAAGAAGAGCTCTTTCCCTTATCAAGCTACAGGCAAGGTACATTTTTGCTTTGTACAGTGCATAAAACCTATGGTCTCACACATGCTAGGCCAGTGTTCTATCACTGGGCTACATGCCCAGCACCTAAGAACAAAATAAAAATTAATTTTAATCAATGAAAGTTTTATTTTTATATTTATTTTTATTAGTGTATGTTTTTAGTATGTAAGGATTTCACTTATCACAGGGAGTAGATACATGTACAAAATGCAAAATATATTTTAAAACAGCCAAGATTATTCAACATGGGAGTCTTAAAATATGAGATATGAAGGGTATATCCCCCATGGCAAATAAAAGGAAAGTAGGGCCTGATCAAATGATTTCTCAGTATATGGAAGAGAGGACCAGCTGGTCCTGCTGGTGCCGCAACTCTTCAGGAGGCTCTGAAAACAGAACAGAAACAGCCGCTCTTTTCTGTGAAAGATGATACATTTACTCTTGAATAATCTGCCTAGATAAAACAACTTCTCAAGTTCTTACAGAGCTTTAACTTTCAAAGATCACTTTTTCCAAATTCAGGCCAGGAAAATCCCTGTCTCTCAACTTCATAGCATGTAAACCAGGTGCCGTGAGAAATATATCAGCATCTCAAAACTTCCTTTCATGCATCCAAATTGCTTCAAATAATTTAATACTGATTTTCTTTAACAATTTTGGAGATTTCTGTCAGGAAAGGGGCATGACACTAGATTAGCAGGTTTGCTCTGATATGATCCCTTCCTGGAGAAAACAAAATAGTAGAATTGAGAGAAACACCTCACGCATTGACCACTTTGGATATTTTGTTTGTCTGATTACTGGTTTTAGTTTGATGCAGCACTGGAGGTCAAAGATAGGGCCTTGCTGGGGTGGGGATTTAGCTCAGTGGTTCTGCCGCCTGCCTCACAAGCACAAGGACCCAAGTTCAATCCCTGGTACCAAAAAAACAAAAAAAGATAGAGTCTTGCTCATACTAGGCAAGTGATCTATACCTCTAGCCCTGGAATTCTTCACTCCTAAAAAACAAAAATATGCCAGTACTTCAGTCAAAAGGTGGGTTCCACTGTGTAGCTGTGCTGTTAACAAACAAAAGCCTGCTGGAGTTTGAAAAAAATAAAATATATAATTAGAAATCTTCTTCCTTTTTAAAAAATTAAACGTATCCATGTACTGCTAACATCTGACTAGGCCAGACAATCGGGTGAAATTAGGTCTCTGTCACAAGACAGCTCTCATTGTCACTTCCAAAGGGGCTGGGAAATGGAATGGTTCTCTTCTTGGCCTTGTTTCAGCAGAATGAGTTCTCTAATTAGCTAAGGTGTCATCTCATTTATACTATGTGATAGCATAGCTGGAACCACCTATGCCTACTTTGTTTTGTTTCAGATAATTCAAAAATTCTAAGAGATAATACAGAACGGGGTGGCCAACAGTCCTGTGTGCTAGGGACTGAGGAGTTCCTGGGATGTGGGACTCAAAGCACTAAAGTCAGAGCCAGTGCAGGGAAGGCAAGGTCCGCTGTTCACCCTCATTGTGACAGCTGAGTAAATTATGACCCTTCTCTTTACCAGCTGTGTGCTCTTAAAAATCTAAGAAATTTTTATTTATTTATTTGGAGGGGGGGTACCGGGGAACGAACTCAGGTCCTTACACTCGCGAGGCAGGTGGCAAAACCACTAAGCTAAATCCCCAGCCCAAAACTTATTTTTTTTATTACTAAAAATGCATTCGTTGAGCCTCACCCCCGTGTGCAAAACAGGAGTCAATAAAACCTACTCTGTAGGACTATTACGATATACTTAAGACATTTAAGCACTGTGCACTAGGTATTTAAGTTATATCTACTTTTATAAATGCCTTTGCAAAGTCAATGGCTAAGCTGAATAATTAAGACACAAAGCCCAAAATGAACTGTAATGGTGTAATGAGGAATTTTACACCATTTGTGGTTGAGGGACAATTTTAACAGTAGTCTTGACTTTTTCAACGAGTCTGTGAAGAAGCCCGTAGTTCTATGTTGGTGAGCCATCACAAAGTAAGCTCAAGCTAACGCAGCGACTACTCATTAGCCTGATTCTCAACATGTCCTCTTTATGTGATGCCAGTTATTGCATGTAAGAAGCTTTCACTTTTGCACTTATTGTTCAATTGAATGTAATCATTTTCTTTTGAATGAGGTATTGCTGGTTCTCTTCCAGGAACCTCCACTATTAGCCGTCTTGTGGCTGTTGCCTTAGTTCCAGACAATCTGATGCAAAGATGCTCCAGTACCTACCCTATCTATTATAAGCAATCAGAACCTGCAACTTAATACTGTCACCAACACCACATGCAAAACCAAAGTGACCTGCACACACATCCACACTAAAGGAGAAAATGCTGTGTGCACGCACACACACATACACCCTAAGACGTTTCCTCCCTATTCCCCTTGGGATTTTTTAAACCATGAAAAATGTTCTTCCCTCGGTTTTTCAAACTTCTCTGAACACGTTTAATTATGCTGTGCTCCAGTTCCTGATGCAGTGTCTTATAATGTACTCTTCCATTTAAGTCCTTGCCCCTTATCAGACTTCGAACAATTTCTCTGCTGAAACCAAGAGTCTTATCATTTGCAAGCTGCTTTTCAACTTAACAGGACTGAACGTGCTTGCTTTTTTTCTCCTTTTACTTCAGTCTTCCTGTTTTCACTCTAATACTTAGCTTGGAATGTTCATTTCTGCCAAGGTGTTACTGGAAATATGCCAATGTGTTGATTCTAACAAATGTGTCCAAAGCCCTTCCAAAGAAATGTAAATGCACATGTGCTATCTATGTCGTCTGCATTTTTTAAGCTTAATTCATCATTACTTTTGGTAGGAATAAAAATTTCAGTTTAAATGCATACTCTTTACTACTAACAGAGTTCCCTTGTGAAGAGACGCCCACTGGACAGACAGCTGCACTCTTCCTAACACACACCCTGCTTTATAACCACTGGCTCTTTAGCACCTTAGCTGGCTGCACCTACACCAATACACTGCTGGGTCAGTTTAAGCTGATACATGCAGGGGGTTATTTCTCTCTGCCAAAAGCCATCAGCAGCCGTTACTGTCCTGGTTTAAGGAAAGATGAAGAAGCCCATGAGTGTCTCTCATATAAGGAAACATAGCAAAATAGCCTGTCTTGTTGCTTATCTTTTTGCTGAAAAGTTCATCCAATGTTAGTTTCCCAGTATCCAACCTAGTACCAAACTCCAGAGCTTCAACCCAGGTCACTAGACATTAAAGCTTTTCCTTCATAAAATGAGTCATCCCAAATTCCTGTGTCTTATTGATCAGCAGCACACTCCACATACTATTTCCTCTGACCTCTTGTGTCCCTCTCAGCAAGCATCAGACAAAGAACAGCACCTACCTGGTACATGTAGGCAACATTTGATCCGATATATTTTGCCCCATAGAGTTTGCCATCCGGCCACTTGACTTGGACAACTTCTCCCTCAGCAGGAGGGCCCAGCTTCACGCAGTCTCTACTCTGCAGAATAAACAGACAGGCTTTTCAAGGCAAGTGCCTAAGTGACTGCATTTAGAACTTAGCAAATGATGAACTCCTGGCAATTAAAAGGAGTTATTGCCTCTGTATTTTATGGATTATGATCTTGCATAGGTGTTCAGGGGAAGTGATATGAGCCAGAGGAGTACTTAAAGATTCAGCTTACATCATAAAGTTGCAAAGAAACCACCATAATCCAAGCAGGAAAAAACAGCAGCATTTACATTTGCTATTTGTCAAAGAATTGTTCAGGGGGTAGCTTAAATATGCATAGAAACTGCTTTAGCTGAGGAACAGAACGGCTAATGATTTATAACACCTGACATTTACACAGCATTTTGTTTACTGCAAAATGCAGCAAACAAAATGCTTTATTAACATACATTCTTATAGTCATTCTCAAAAGTAGACAGATTATTAATTATCCCCATTTTACTGACAAGGAAACTGAGCCTCCAAAGAGCCTCCCTTAAGGTGTCAGGACTGCTGAAGGAGGGAAGCTAAACAAGAGGGCAAGAGGCGTGGAAACCGGCAGTGGAAGAAGCAATGTGAAGCTGGGGCTGCAGGAGAAGGCCAGTGGCAGCACAGCGGGGACAACAGGAGCACCGCATCCTGCCTAGCATGCCTCCTAAGCACCCGGCCTTCCAGCGGAACCTGCCAAGGCTGCAGGAGGCCAGTAGCAGCACAGCGGGGACAACAGGAGCACCGCATCCTGCCTAGCATGCCTCCTAAGCACCCGGCCTTCCCAGACAGGAGTTCTTCCGCCAGCACCTCCCAGCGAGTGACTGCCCACTCCCTTCCACTGGGAACCATGGTGGTGTCACAGCCAGCCTTCTCCCTTCAGTCTTCTGGGCCATGCTACAAGGCATTCAGAGCACAAGAGTTGTGTAGTTCATTTGGGAAGGTACTTTTTGAGAGAGGGGGTGTGAGTAAAATAGTAAAGCGTCTTCACAGACACTTCGTAAACTCTTAACATTTGTAATAACCATGGTGGTGTCACAGCCAGCCTTCTCCCTTCAGTCTTCTGGGCCATGCTACAAGGAATTCAGAGCACAAGAGTTGTGTAGTTCATTTGGGAAGGTACTTTGAGCGAGGGGGTGTGAGTAAAATAGTAAAGCGTCTTCACAGACACTTCGTAAACTCTTAACATTTGTATGCATCGAGTATAACATCATAAAATTTTAATACAAAGGGAATTAAATACTTGACTACTTTTGTTTGGGGTTTTTTGCACACTTAGCAATTCATGATTTGCTAATACTGGCATTTGGCTGATGAGGCCAATCCAACTGATTGAAATGCACACTTGACCAATCAAGCTATAAATGCAGCCTAGGCAGGTTCAGCAGTTTAAATGAGCAGCACTCACAGGAAATATTTAGTTGTTTATTACTAGAAATCCATCCTGTATGTCTTTTTATTATTAATAGAAATTCTGGCTTATAAAGGAGTGACCACATTATTGTCAGGTTAGGGCCACACATGAAAGGTCCAGCTGCTCATTTTTCTAACTGCAGACTATGCTTCCCTTCAGAGCTAAGGGTAAAGAATAACTTGTATGCTCAGAGACGCTATGGGACTGACACTAACTTAAACGGAAATAAGTTTATCCTTGGCCTTCATCATGTTTGACCCCGGGGTATGCAGAACTGAAAGAAGGCTATAGAAACACACAGCCTTTTATATATGACCATGGGCTTATCAGCTCTCTTCACAGTTCCCTTCCAAAGAGTTTCGTGGAGGTACAGATTCTAAGTACCCAAAGAAGGCATGCGTCTAGTCCCCTAGGGTAGAAAGTCACATCCCTCTGAGGTACCAAGCCCTCAGTGACAGCAGCGGGTGTGCGGCATACTTCTTCCCCTGCTAAAGCTTTCTTATGCCTGCAGGGTGCTCTGCTAGGTACCTAGGTACTGCTCCTGGCTCATCTTCACTTCCTGGAAGCCTCTAACAAGAGGATGGGGAAGGACTTCATTTTATTGTTGAGTTCTGAAGGACAATGTATTCCACAGTGATGTGTCATGGCACCTTGGGCACCATAACTGCCTCACTGGGGCTCTGTGGGATCCTTTCAGGGGAAACAGTCACACTTGTGAGACACCCAGCTTACTGAAACCATTAAGTTGTTCGGACCTAAATGAATAGAAACACTTGCTACGGTTTTTTTTGTGGGGGGGTTGGGTTTGTTTTGTTTTGTTTTTTTTGACCTAGGGCAGTGGAAAAAATGTGCTGAGATATTAAGGGTGCTGTACAGTGAGACAGTTCGGTGACCTCGGGCTCAGCCCCTCTTCTGTTGCTTTGGAGCTGTGTGCACCAGCACACAGGCGCCACACGCAACTCCCTCTGCAGAGAGAAGCCTGCAGTCTCCCACACCACCAGTCACCAGGGAAGCCCAGTTTCAAGGCCCAGTGTTAGGAAACCTGTTTGCTCACAGATATAAGGCAAAGTCTCTGATACCCGCTTTATTAGTAATAAGCTCCTTGGTCTTGACTCCCAGCAGTGCCAAGTCAAGGCCCAGGGAATACAGACGGTGTCTCCCCATCTGCTCACCGGCCAGACCATGTCTGAGTGGGAGAGTTTCAGCGCTACAGACCTCACCTGCAGAGCAGTTTATTAACCTTTATAATGCAACACCAAAGAAATTCTGCTCTGCAATTTAGGTTCCCTATCACCAAGGTAAGACAAGAGGCCTCAGAATATCACCTGGGCAAGTATAAAGTACTTTAAATCATGATTTATCATTAAAAAATAGTGTATTGGGTGGGAGGGGAGGAGGGGGTGAAGCGAGGGGAGGAGGGGTTGAAGGGAGGGCAGGGACAAGAGAAAAAAATGAGAACCAAGACCTGTCATGAAAAGGTACAAGATCCCAACAATGAATGTAACTGTACTGTGTACCTGAAATGTGCCAATAAACTCAATGAGGAAAAAAATATATTTTATAAATTGAGAACATACATGTTTGGAAAAAGTGGGGACTTAGTGTGTAGAAAGCAACAGCTTGAAGGGACAGCCTCTCACTGAAAGGTCTCCAGGTGGCCCACATCTCGGGCTGTGCACGAGGACTGAGGCATGAGAACAGCTTCTCAAAGTGACCCCTACACAGAGGCACATGTTAAGCTGGAGAACTCAGGGTCCCTCAAAGCAATTATATAAAAATACTAAAAGATCCTTCCTAATACAGCCCCTACTGTGTCGCTGGAGTACGTAAACACCTTTGCCAGAACATGATACGTGTGGAAACCCTGACTAGTGCATTTTTCCCAGACCTGCCGAAGCGATGTGCCCTCACCTGACATGAGTGCCTGTCTGCCTCTCGCTGTGTACCTCCGGGATGTGCGAGCCCCCAAAACCGTTTCACAGGAACACTGGAGTCTGGAGCTGCCAGTAAGCCTGTAGCTAGCACACCAAACAGATGTGAGAACTAAAGACAGAAGCAATAATCCCAGGCTTTTGGCTTTGTTCAGTTACTTGAAAAACTGATCCGAGTGATCAACCCAAGTGAGACGGCTGTGACACATCACATTCTCACAAGCGAGCAAGGGGATGGGACCCCCGAACTCCGGAGATGCTCGGCGGCCAGTCTGACTCTCTGATGCTGAAATCACTGCGGTTCTGCGCCATTTGAAAAGGACCCCAGAGGCCGGTATCCACCAACAGTGCCTGCCTTAGCCCAATCCTGTTCCACTGCCACACACGACCGCAGAGCAGGCGGCCCAGTTACCACCCGAATGTACCAGGTGAAGACACGGCACACCACTGCCTGAAGTTAACAGGCACATACCTTGGAGCCTCTGGCCAGGAACCCCCCGGGGGGGATGTTTACATGACCTGGAGCAAAATGACACCAGCAGCTGCTAGCACTCTAAGATAGCCAACTGCTTATGACTGGACCGGGACAGGGGTTCGCAAGACTCACAGCCACGTGGTAATTGTAGTGGCTACTGTCACGGGTCTGGCTGCCCAGCATCTGAGACCCCCTTCTCCCCTCACAGTCTCAGTGGAGGCAGAGCGGCCTGAGGAGCGCCAGACACACTGTTTCCCTGCTTCCCTGGCTCCAAAGACATCGACAGGGGCCTGGCCAGTGGTGGCACCTGCCTAGGCCTAAGACCTGTGATCACAAACAGAGCCACGGCAGAGGGAGCGTGCGCTCTGCTGGCAGCAGTGGCAGCAGCTCTCATTCACAGATGGCAGAGTCCAGACCAAAGTGACCACACAAGGCAGGTCTTCCCAGCCTTCCTGAACTGGGGCTGTGGCCTGGTCCTGCCCACAGTCGCAGCAGAGCAACCTTCTTGTTTTTGTTTCCTGTAGAGTTTTTTATTTGTTTATTTTTTGAGATAGAGTTTTGCTATACAGATCAGGCTGGTTTTGAACTCACTATATAGCCCAGGTTGGCCTCAAACTCACAGTGATCCTCCTGTTTCAGCCTCTCTCAAGCACTGGGCTGTTTCTATTTCCTGACCCTTGTTCTTCTATAGTCCTGGAGATTCTGTGAGCTGCCCAAAAATCTTCCACTAAATTTCTGGCAAGCCTAAATCAAAACAGTTTCTGCTGCTTGCCACTACCAATTCTGACTGATAAATAACTGCTGATTTCTGAAATGGCAGGTCCCTCCTCTCACGAAGAGACAGAAACCTTTCACTTAATGGTGGGACATAATACTAGAGGCCTTCAAAGAAACCAGTCCTCATTTTAAGGACCAGGGGCAAACCCACCCGCCAGAAAAGAAGGAAGCACAGATGAAAGTGCTGACCTGCTCAGGAGGCATGTCAGGTGACCTGCAGCAGCAGCATGAAGATTTCCACGGGCTGTACTACAAAGGTAAGTCTCCGCGCCTCCAGAGCCAAGGCAGGTTCCAAGGCAGCGATGGCGAACCTGCTAGAGAACGAGCGCCCAAACTGCAACCCAAACCCACTTATTTACAGCAAAGTGCCAGCCCTGCAATTACACTGGCCTGCTTGGCTCCCCGGGCGGGCGGGGCGACCTGG